GGGGTATCAGCTAAAAATCCAATATCGTGCATCCCTAGAAAATTGTGTTTGTAAGTCGATTTTACACATTTACTGAAATTAAATCATAAGACTTTTTTAAAAAAAGAACATTTGTTGTTTAAACAAAATGTATTTTATTTTTGTTTTAGATTTGTGCATCTTTTGGCATGTAGCTTGGTAGTACAGCGCACAGCTGTTCAGACAAGGAAACATTAACATCACATCTCCATCACGTCACTGGACGTTTCCCAACAGTTCTTCCAGCTACCTGATTTTTGTGCCTTGCATGAAGGCTAAAAATTAAAAAATATATAATAATTAAAAAAAATGAAGGCTTAGCATTCCTTAAAATGAATTCATATCGCCCACCAAATGGTCCACAGATTTTTACTTTATGTTCAGAAATGACAGTTGTAGCTGCTTTTGCCCCACCTTAAAAAACAAACAAACAATAAAAGCAATCTCATACATCACACTCAAAGTACATGCCATGAATGACTCTCAGCTACTACTACCACATCAGTTGTACTTCAACCCATACTTTCTGAAAGTTTCATTAAAATCTGTTTAATTGTTTACAATATACCATACCATACCAATTTATTTATATAGCACTTAAAACAGCAACAAGGCCAACCAAAGTGCTGTACAAAAGAACACAAACATGCACAGCAGACAGGAAAACATAAAATAGAAATACATACATAATATGTTTAGCCAACACGTGCAGATGTTTTAAGCAAAAACCTTTGGCACTTTTCGTGTATGCATCGTGAATGACTTTCAGCTATAATAACCAGATTTTAGCACAATAGCTGCAAAACTGACTGAATTATGGCCATTTCTGAGTTTTCTAAAGTTGACTGTGGCAACCATCTTGAATGGAGTTAGCTCCAAAAGTTTTTTTTTTTTTTTGCAGATGTATATCCACAAATTATCTCCTAAAAGTTTCACTAAAATCTGTCAAGCGGTTTGTGAAATAGTGTGCTAATAGACATTTATACCCAATTCCTTCAACCTTTATTTATACAGGTTAGTCTCATTGAGCCTCGAGGACTCACTTACAGGAGAAACCTGTTAGTTACTGGCAAAAAATATATAAATAAAATAAATAAACAAGGATCTTGCACAATCAGGGCTCAGACTATGTGTTGGGGATCAGGTTCATCTACTTCCAAATTGTAGCTCATCTGTAATATTTGTAAAAAAAAAAAAACGTGCAGAGTTAAATATGGTAAACGTTTTTTTAAGGCTGTCAAATAATTCCTTTTTTTATTTATTTAAAGTGGGAGAAATGTTGCAATTCATGCAAGTTGGGATTGTATGACAGCTAAAATCTGTGCTGTCTTTGCCATCATCTATTTGCAGCTTAAGGTTTGAACCATTTTAGAAAAGTCATGCAAAAGAATCTGACTTCCGCCATTCAGTTCTTGCTCAGTCAGTGATGGGGCGTCACCCTATTTGTCTGTGGATCAGCACCTCAAACTCACTCCAATCTTTACATTTGGACACAAACTAACCCCCTTGTTTTCAAATGTGACTACTTCAATGGCTTCAAAGTAAGACGAAGGGGGGGAATCCACGGTAGCCTTCACTTCACTAACAAGTTTTAACACCCCAACTCATGACACTGTTAGAAATGAAGGTTTAGATATGGTCCATTTTATTAAGCAGGTGATTTATTCGTGAGTATTTTTTAGCTGTGTGTGGATGTTGCAGGTCGCTGGGAGGTGAATTAAAACGTTATAATAGCTAGCTAACACGTTTTCTGTGGACTGCAATCTCCTGCGGTGCCCAACCTTTAAAAGACGAGCTATTATGACAACAAACCGACATTTTCGACACATTTCTGACCCAAGAATGTAAAAAGCATACTCACAGCAAGCAAACAGAGGTCTAATTACCGAGGTGAAACGACGTTTGGTCTTCTGGCGGAGACTGGGGAAGAAAAAAAAATCTTTCAATTCCGTTGCCAACCCAGAAGAAGAAAAACGAAATGTCCCCCCTTGGCTCAGTTTGTCCCACTCGACTTCAGCAATACGTGTCCTTTTCTCTGTGTGACAGAGTTGGGTTTTCAGAGGCTAATATGCGCCAAAGAAATTCCCTGGTGCAGAATATGATGAGCCCGCGTTGAACAATGTGCTTCCAGAGAGCAGAGAGGAGCTGAGGAGTACACACTGAGCCCACGCCCAGCTCTATCAACCATGGAACCGCCCGGGTTACTGTGTTCTGTTACTGATGCGTTCAAACGTCGTCGGAAAAATCACACTGCTCAAAAATGATCACTGACCCTGAATCTAACAGACAAGAAAACGAGAGATGAATGCAGCGTTTTATTACATTCTGGCCAATCATTGTTATAATATAATACCGAGTCGACTTTTCCGTATCAAAACCGTAACCACCAGAAAGAGTACTTTTTTAAAAACATTTATTTATTAAAAAAAATCTCCTTATGCATGGACTTCAAAGCATTACTTTTTGAAACGTAATATATTTGTATATATGTAAGTCTGAGTAAATCACTGGCTGTTTCTTTGTGAATGATTAATCTAGCATGAAAATCTGTAAATACATAAGATCTACTATTGAACTTGAACTGCCCACAAAGACTACATGTCCCAGTGAGCACTGCAAGCGTATCCAGGAAGTTAATTCCGGTTGTCAAGTAAACTTTTGCCTTTCTGTTTAGTCTCCGTAAATATTTATCTTCTGGACCATTCCCCACAACCGGTAAAGAAGGTTCATAGTATCGCTAACATATAAATTGTAACTCCTTTAGAATTTGTTTTGAATAAATTAAGTATTTATTTACTTGCACCATAGCTGTGTTTGTTAACGTAACATTTGTAACAATTAACGTGACGCTGCTAGCTTGACGCGAGCTGTTTCTCACTCCAAGCTACTTTTCCATTATTATTTAGATTTTTGTATTGTTTATTTCAGACAGTTGTATTGTTTATTTCAGATATTCGCGAGGCATGAATCTCTGTCATAGTTCAGTGGCCCAGGAGGTTCGGCCTGGTACCGCCCGGGTTCAGGTGACTGAGCTGAGTGGATCAGGCTGCATCAACCCAACTCCCAATCCTGCTAAACCATGTGAGGACTGTGACACAGCAGTGGAACTTTATCTTTCTCCTGAAAGGCTGGTAAGTTCTCAGAGACCTTAAACTAAAGTCTATATTCACTCCAGTAATTGATACAACATAATTCAATACTTTACTGGTTTAAACATTTATTGAAGATAGTCTCATTGCTTGATACTGTATAGTACTGACATTTCTTTGTGATAGAAGCATTATTTTTTTTGCACAATCAAAATTAGGGTTGTAGAATAATATTGTGTGCATTACAATTAGTATAGGCTTGAAATGCTTTGGCAACACCCTCTAATTTGCTCCTGGTAATTAACTAGGTAAAATGGCTCATTGTCTTAACACTTATTTTCTCATTTAGTATAAAAACAGCTGATGAATTTTAACAAGACATTTCCCACTCACAAAGTTAGAATGAAATATAATTCCTTAAAATTCACATGTTTATGAATATTGGACCTTTAGTTGTAGTTTTAACATGCGTATATGAAGCTTGAGAAAACTCTTCGTGTCATTATTCATACTTATAAGCAATGGTCATATTTCTTATCATGTTATGGATCATACATGTCATTACCTATAACAGACTTTTGCAATAAACGTTTTAGCAAAGAAACCATTAGAATGACGTACAAAAATAGTTTTCCCATTTTTCACAATCTCAAAAATTGCTTAAAATTTACATTTACGCTCAATTTTTATTTCCATTCTCTTAATTTGGTTATAACATTTTTTTATGTATTGTCATCATTACACACTTGGAAGGGGAAGAAAAAGAGAATCAAGCACAAAATAGTTTTTGTACATTTTGCACATTAAATTGAAGGTTGCTTCATCTGTTTTAGTTTATCACAGTGTTAAATTTAATATTCAGCTGTAGCGATGATCGAATTAAACCAAAATACCCAGCAGCAGATTAGTTTTAGAAATAAACATTTTCTCCAGCACATACTGCACAGAAACAAACTGGTAAAATAATGAGTCAAAAATGCTTTTTGAAGGTGAGCTGGACAGACAGACTTCACATCACAGACTGAACATAAATATAATTAATCTAAAATAAGTTTTAAATAATTAACATATACATTCTGAAGACACAGTCTGATTTATAATGTTAATAGTTTTTCTGGTAATTTCTGTACTTTACAGGAGTTGTTGTGTGGAACTCAGAATCTTTCTCTTGTCACTTCACTGGAGGTCTGTGTAGACACCCGAGCAAATAGCCTGGGCAACTTAGGTAAGATGCACCTTCCATCCAGACATTTACTTTTCATTATGACCATTTATTTGAACCTTGCTGCTTATGCACTACACCTTTATTTGTTTGCATGAGAGCTCATAGTTTGCATGAGAAGCAGATAGTTGTACTTACCATTTGTAGACGACCAAGCTGATAGCAGTGAAGAAAGATGTTCACTTCACTTTGTTCTCTAAAATTCCTAGCTTGCATACCAGCTGTGTGAATGTGTGCATTACAGCCTGCCTACGAAAGGCACACTTTTTTAAGCAGTAGTGTTTGAATATTTGATTTAATCGTTTGGAGTTACAATATTGACTGACACTTACATGATCAGACCATTGACCCATTTTAAAAAGCCTCACATTTCTGATGATCTTTCAGGTTCTTACTTGCCTAGATTAGTGCAGCTGAAAATGAATAACAGCGTGATCACATCATTAAGGTAAGTAAAGTAAGACAGACACCATTTATTGGTCCTACTTTTGTCCTAGATTGTGGTTTTCAAAAGCAAAAATTGTAAGTGAATATTACCAATTTTCACATTTTCAAGAAGCTGCCAAAGATGTTAACAAATGTGAATGAACGCAGACTTAAGCCCCTCTGTAATTTTATCTCTAGAGAAAAGATAAATCACAACAGAATTATTGTCATGCTACAAACTCTATTCATAAGTCATTAAAAAACTTTTTTTTTGTAGATGGACAGTGCTTTTAGTGTGTCAGAGGTTACTCAAAAATGATACAGAATTGTTGCAGAGCAGCTGTTTGTTTTGTTCTACTGTGCCCAAACCTTTTGGAGGTTGCGTGTCGCAGCTTGTAAACCAGACAACCAGATGTTACGTTCAGTTCAGTTCTGGAGATAGACACATGTGGCGAACAAGTTCAACCAGCTTTCTCCCAGCAGGACACAGAGGGGTTTGTGGTATACTGACATATTTCTTTGACTGTCCTTCCAGTTTATATACAGCTGCAGCCGTGTCATCAGAAACTTAGATGAAAGTTTGTCTTTATAATAGGACAGGTAGAAACATTTAAATGCCTGAGAGATAAATAAGCACAAGCAAACAAACAAAAACAAAATAAAAATTAAAAAAAAAGAGAGAAAGGTGTTTACTCTAAAGCTTAGCCATGAACTGCTTCTGAGAGCAATTCCTGCTGTGGGCTGGGGGGATGTCCGCTGAAGATGTTCAATGAAGACAAATGAAAGAAAGAGGTGAGGATTGCACTTTGGGCGAAGGAAAAGGGAGAAGGAGCAAAAAACGTATGCAGCTTACGCCATAAATCACAGTGTTATGAGCTTGTGTCAGTCCCCGTTATGACTTTTCTGCTATTTTGTTCCTCCAGAGACCTGGGAACCACCCTCTCCCACCTGCAGGTGCTGTGGATGTCTCGCTGCTGCCTACAAGATCTAGATGGCATTACTACTTTCTCTTCGCTTGAGGTCATCTTTCTTAAGAACAAATGAGTCATAATGGACTCTTCATCAATTTCTATTCTGAGGAATATTTTCTTGAGTTTATGAAATATATTTTCTATACTTCAGTATAAATATTATGCTTAAATGGAGACAATTCATGCCATTTAAGGTTTCTGATTCAATACAATTTTTCAAAATGTTATGTATATCTGTTGTGATTTCTTTTTTCTCTTTATAATAGATTTTTCTTTTTGTACAATCTGATTTCTTTTTTTTTTATCATCCAGTTTTTAACTTATTTTTTAATCTTCCAGTGTCTGCATTTTTTTTTTTTATATATAAGCAGGTCATACATATTGTCTTTGTTATTCTCTTTATATTATTATACCTGGCAGTATTATTTGCTGAATCACACCTTTTTTCTACACCCACCTAAACAGTGTGTGATCCCTGTGTTTGTTTTCAGGAGCTCTACCTGGCCTACAACAATGTGTCCGACCTGAATCAGATTAGCATGCTGGACAAGCTGCAGTTGTTAGATTTGGAAAGAAACTCTGTGGATGACCTTGTCCAGGTTCAATATCTGGGTTTGTGTCACAAACTCCATACACTTACCCTGGAGGGAAACCCTGTGTGTACGCATCCAAACCCTACATCCTCTAAGGTAAAAGATAATAATAATTGCATATACAAATGAACAATAAGCTTTTTTCAAATTCTGAAAAAGGTAGAACATAATTAAATTAAATCAAAGAGAATGAATTTACATCCAAATGTAAGGATTTTTTAAAAGTTGCTTAACACACAGCTGTCACAAACAAACCCAAAATAGCTATAAATGTCAATTTTACAGATAATGATTTAAAATTTGATGTGGTAAGAGCTGAGAGATATTCACGACAAATACTTTGTGTAAACACATCTCGAAAGATCTCGCAGTATCACACAAGACTGTGCTATTAAGCTATTACTTCATCTCTTCTCAACAAAATCTGATTTTAGTTTCAAAGTCAGGCATCAAAAGCAGCGTATATTTAATGTTTTTGAAGGATGCAAGACCTTTCATTTAATATCTCTGTTAGAACATGTTCTCTGAGGGAGTTTACCTGTCAGAGCTGGGCAAACACGCTTGTTTTGATACGCACGTTTTAAACATAAGACAAACTTTTTTCCTGAGGCAACTATAATCAAATGGTGCAATGCTCAGAGTAATAGGAGTCTGGCAAAAGATCCAACCAAACCAAATGGTTGGAGATGAAAAGAACAAGTCTTGAGCAGAGTTCCTGAACAGGAAGTGTTTCATCAGCTCATCTTGTAAAAGCCAACTCTCGACGGCAGCTCCACTCAGTATCTCCTGTGTCACTGAGCTGACACACAAAAAGTGCTTGTGGCGATCTGATCTTGCCTCACAGGAGACATGAAAGCACCAAGCACACTGAAATGATGAGATTACGTCATGGCAGATGGCAGTTTTATTTGGATGTTAGAATCCATACTCGATGTCAGCACAAACAATAGTTCGATGTAAATGTCTACATAAAATAAAACAATTTACTATCGTCATTGCTGCTGCATAAAGCTAAACTGCTTTTCTACTGGTTAGCTGTGAGTAATTTGTTTATTTACTTGTATTTACAGCATTAATTAGGAAACTAGGGCAGTGAGCGGAGATGCTGAGCTGAATATGTATTAGGGCTGTGCTTTGTAGTAACTGTGGAAATCTTGGGTTTGCTTTCTTGCCAAACACTCCTTTTGCTCTCTCACTTTCCAGCACACAAACACACGTCCACTCACTTCCTCTCTGTTAGTCCCCTTTCTCCTTTTATTTTTTGTGTCCTCCTTGCCAGCCTTTTGCTCTCTTTTTCACTCACTGTGTGATTTGGTGAAAGCGAGGAGTGCCGAGCTCTAATTTGGTTGCTTGTGGATAAATCTTTTACAGGACCATCTTGGCTCGGTTTGTCTTTGGTTATGTAACTGTTTAGCACTCAGTAATAATTATATATATTTTTTACCAGCACTTGATGTAAGTTTATCAAATGTCAAAACAGAAATAAATATATGTATTGAGTTACTGTAGGTGTGATGGCACTCAGTTAAAAAATGTGTGGGACAAGAAACAATGTGTAAAACTAAAAAGAACAAAACAAAAAAAGCAATAAATAGAATTTGATTAATAAATAAATATGAACCTCTCGGAAATATTTAGGCAGAATACTAGTTCAATACTGGCAATATGGTTGTGTGTACATAACAGCTCATCCTAAATAGACTGAATATTAAAACAAAACAAAAATAAAAAGGAAATAAAATCACAACACAAAACTGTGAATTGTGTATCTTATATAGGTTATGTTTTTTTTATTTGTCGTTCGCACGACATGTAGTACATGTGATGTAACGAAATTGTGTACACAGGGTCCCAGTTACATCCAACAAAAGTATAAATTGTAAAGAAAAACAGTAATAAGATCTAAGATATGAACAAAGAAAAACGTTAACTAAAAATATGCTAAGCACTAGTAGTAAAAAAATAATACTCTGAACAGCAGCATGAACATGAGTCTGTGGGAGCAGATGAGTACGAATGAACACAGCAGCATGAAATAAATCAGCAGCATAAGATCAGCAATATGGATAGTCAGCAGCACATATCAACAGTCAAGTGGCATTACAGTGATTTTTGTCACAGTGATTATCCTGGTTAGGGATTCATGAGTCTAACAGCTTCAGCGTAGAAGTTCCTCAGTCTGGTGGTTCTACACTTAATGCTCCTCAACCTTCTGCCTGAGGAGAGCAGGGCAAAAAGTGACTGTGCTGGATGAGTGGGGTCCTTCATGATGCAGGGGGCCCTCTTCCTGCATCTACAGGGATATACAGTACTGCTTAAAAATATTTTTGAATTAGTCAATATTTCAACATATGCAGTACACAACAAACTATTTGGCAAGTCAAAATAAATCTTTAATTGTAGGAAAATGTAAAATAAAATAACTGAACATTTATTGTTTTGATTCAGACTTGTTATTCCAGTGCTTGTCTACGTGAATGTCAATAAAAATGTATGAAGAAAAGGAACTTTAAAATACCATTATAACTGGAAAACATTTTGGATCCCTGTCGGTGTCCATTCACCTGTTTTTAGTGGGGGGCGGGTTCCACTCCTTTCATTATTTAGTTTAATCAAATGTTTGTCTACCAAAGTCTAAGCATCCTTCCGTAGCCTTTTTTTCCCCCCATCTTTGTTCTAGGTGGGTGGCTATAGCTATCGAGCTGCAGTGAGGGAGTTGGTCCCTCAGTTGCGCTACCTAGATGATGTGGACGTTGATGAGGACGGTTTGGCCTGCTGTAGCGTCACAGGAGAAGACTGGGACATTCTACATAACTCTATTAAGAAATTGAACTCTTCTGAGGCTGCCGGTACCGATGGTTTGATTTTTAAAAACAATATTATTGTCTATACAACCCAGTCAATTGCAACTGTCTTAGCTGAATAAGCATCTTATTTTTGTATTTGTGGAAGAGTTGGCAGATAGTGTACACTCCTGCAGCGCACACAGCTCTGCCAGTCGTCCTTTTACCAGCCCCGCAGCTGTCAGGCCTCTTTCATCTCCAAGCTCCAGACTCACACTGGCAACTGACCCTGGAGTTCTTTCCCCTCCTGGATCCAGACCTGGTTCTTCAAACTCGGATCTAACAGTGGAAGAAGAAACCAGCACACTAATACATGGTGGGACATTCCACTCATCATTACATTGTATTTAGTTTTAGCGGCTTTTTAAACACACAAAGCATCTAAACCATCAGAATTTTCTCCTTAGTGTCACCAAGAAACCAAATCCATGTCAATGAACACATCAGTGTCTTTCATCTGCTTGTTTGTGAAGGAGCTGGCAAGATCCTGTTTTGTGGAAACCCAGTTCAGGCTATTCGAGCAAGGCGAGAACAGCTGAAGGTAAGTGGCAACAAAAAACATGTAATTTAAAAATGATTTAATTAAAAAACATAACATTTTGCCTTTTAAAACATCTCACTTAGTCGCTTATTGGAATTATTTATAGTTAAGTCCATCTATCATTTCAGTGCATTAAAGCTATTAGTGTCAGCTGAGAAGAACAAGTTTTATTAGTGCTGACGGGCCATGATGGCTGTCTGGCACCAGCAGCTCATCTATTTGCTGTCATGTCGGTCTAAACAAAAGCAGCTAGTGAACATGAGTACAAAAACCAGAGAAGACAAGCACAATGCATGGGGGACACATGATAGAGATAATGTGAAGGGGCTCTTGTTGAAAACTGGGATATTGATTTTGTTTGTCCTCTGTTTCAGTTTGAACCTTTCAGTAAGTCTTTATCTACTAATGTATTTAACTGTTAAAGTTTTTTTTTCTTCTGCACATACTTATTCTCACCCTCCTCTGCTGGACAGACAGCACCCACCAGATCCACTTTGACCCCTCGTGATCTGCCAATTTATGTACCAGAACACACATATGACCTCGAGGAGCCTGATCTTGGAGAACGTGTTGATGTTTTTGCGGAGCTCAGAGCCTGGAGGGAACAGCATAGCCGGTACTACATGATTATACTTTATATCATTTTGCTAGGCTTTTGGACGTTGCTAAATAGTAAACCCCTTATAATGAGCTTTTATCTTATCACAAAAGATAACCTTTAAGACATGAGTGGACCGTTTGAAAATGTGTACCTCTTTTTAGAGTGTTCTAGAATAGGCAATACATATATTTTTATTTTATTTTTCAGGCGCCTTGAGGTCATAGAGAAAGAAAGATCTCCACAGATCTTGGCTATTCATCATGGAGGTGAAGATGAAACCGATGAAGATGAAGGAGAAGGCTTTGTAGGTATGAGAACAAACAGCAGTGATGAAGATCGAGGAGAGGAGGAACGCTGTGACAGATTAGATACTGGCTCACTGGATTCCTCTTTTCAGTCTCTTTCCCCAGGTGAATTCTCACTCAACACAAGCGATTCTGAAAGTGTCATATATTTTTCTTTGACTCAGACTGGACAAAAACAAATAAGCTCTCAACTGATAATGCATTTATCTTGTTGTTGACAGATCTGTGTCAACAAGAAGGCTTGTCCCCTAACATGGCTCGACTGGCTCTGTCCTCGGACACCACACCTTCCCTTTCGCCTCCTCGCTGTGTCGCTGCAACTCCCACGAATAAAAAGTTGTCACAGATTCGTGCTCGCAGGCTTCATCTCAGCTCAGAACACTTACCTGTTGTCAGCAGGCAGAGGTGTGTCCGTCAAACACCTGCAGCAGAAGCAGACCTCTCGTCCGAGAGACTCCAACAGTCGGCGAGGACCAACCTGCCTCCGAGGACACCCATTCCTCACATACCCCACCCACCTTCAACGAGGGGTTTGCTTGGAGGACCAGTGAATTCATGGTATGAAATTAATACTAGGTGTATTTTTTTTTATTTTACAATCAAAATAGGTCAATCTTAGAACAAGTCTTTATTTTTATTTTCGTTGTAGTTAAAACATAAGTTCACACGAGGAAAAAAAAACTCAGATAATGGAGAACAAGAGAAATTATTTATCAAGTTACAATCACTTTTATCAACAATTACCTAACTATAAAATAATAGAATAATTGACAGTAAATTTCCACTTTTTTAGATTTTTCTACCTGGATTATTGAGCATGCATCAGGATACATTTCCACTTAGTGCCTCAGATGTTTGTATTAAAATCTAGTTGTGATTAGATGAGTGTAACACATTAAAACATGTCATGTTTTACAGAATTGTAACATTTTATAGAACCTTAACAAAAGGTTTTTATCTTTCAGGGGGGATAAGGACTTGTCCAGATGGCATAAATCATCAAGAACCCTTAACAGACCTGCCATTTCTCGCCCACACACAGCCAGAGCTGCTCTACAGAAACACCACCACCTTCTCCAACCCTACAGAGGGAGCTCACACCTAGATTAATGCCAGGCTCCGCTTGCTTGTAGACATGTTTTCTTTTCATTTTCCAGTTTGTACACTTATATCCTGTTCCTCATTGCATCTTAGTCCCACTTCCCTGAAGTGAGGAGGAGACAGCAGAAAAGAAGAGTTGGAAAAAAAAACTCAGGTGGTCAATAAAATGAGATTATCTTGCTTCTGTAAACCAACATGTATCAAATATGCATGGAATCATCTGTCCACTATTTGATATAGTTTACTGCAGCATTACATGATCTCTAGGAAATAAGCTTAAGCAATAGTTTACTAAGGAAGATATTTAGGTTTAATTCAAACATAAAAAGTGTGACACATGTCTATTATATCACTGTATGTGACTCCTACTAGTGATCTTTCTTTGTGTCACACTTTCCTTCTGCTGCAGTTTTGGATTTTAAACCTTCCTTTAGGGGTGTCGAACTCAGTTACCAAAAAGAGCCATAATTTAAAAACTTTGTCTGAGCCAAGGGCCATTTTCAGCTGATACATTAACTCGAGTCAGATAACTATATCTTTTCTTGGTTGCAGGTTCATCAACAAGAGTTTGATCAGTCTCACTTGTCATTCTGTTGCTCTTTCCACATCAGAATCAGTAATGACAGAATGATCCAGCCTTCTTTCTGGCTTCAAAGTTAGCCAGCTGGCAAGAGAAGTCTATCCTAATTGATGTATTTATCAGGTTTTTTAAAAGAAAAAAAATTAGAAGGGATGTAATATTTTACATTTAAATTATCATCTTGGGAGACCAGATTTGGCCATGGCTCTTGAGTGTGACATGTTCCGAGCTGAAAGAATGAAAGTGGAGACAAAAAGGCACATGCAGATTAATATATGGAAATTACTCTTGTGAGATTATTCTTGAGATTATATCATTTTACATAAGGC